ACGCGTCTGCCTCCGCGACCCGAAAGGAGAAGCGGCGATGGAAGATGAAGATGAAGAAGAAGATGAAAAATGTACACGTTTCAAAGGTGTTTCCCGTGTTCGTTTATGGTCCAATGTGTTGAAGGCATTCAAAAAGCCTAAGAAACAGAAAAAGTCAGCATATTGTAGTCTCGAAAATATTGCAAAAGATGCAGATGTTGATAATTTGCTGTGCGATTCTGCTTCATTCTGGGAAACCCGAAAATTTCTTGTGTTAATGGGACCATATATTCAGCAGGAGATTCAGTATGCCTTTACTACTGAGGCTAACTAAAGAAACAATTGAAATCTATAGGTTATTATTGCATTTAGTTTACAGCAAGTACGATCAAAGGTTCTGCTTAGTCTGTTGGTTACTTTCCACAAAAGTTATGTAGAAAAACATGAACAACAAACATTTTTTAAGCTTCAAAGATCCTTAAAACTAGAGGCTGAGTATACTCTTCACGCCAAGTTAGGAACCGTTTGAACGTATATGACACTTTCTTTCTTACTGACGATGACAACGACGTACTTCGTGAAAAACCGGTGGTGACGAGAGTTCGGCTTCAGTCTGTAGGGAAACGTCCGCAGTGACGTGTAACGTCTGTTTGGTCGTAAAATTTTCATCTGTCTGTTGTGCTGCGTCAGAGCAGACTTTCGGTGAATCAGCTGCCTTGCTGTGAAGGTCATCTGAAATGTTAAGCATCAGCGACAAATTGTATAGATTGACTGCGCCGATCTCACGACTTTCTGCCATCCGCTGTGATAGATTGACTTTCAGCTTGTTAACAATCTGCTCGAACCGCGTGATTCTATCGGACACGTCTAGTAGTTTGGCAAGCAACCCCTCTTCGCGGTCTTTCCATGAAGTGTCCAGCTGCACAAGCCAATCTGAACACAACTTCTGTCCGTTCGACTGCTGCATAAGCAGTTGTCGCACTTCCTGTGAAAGCTGGTCATTTGTGGCCTCTACAGCCAACAACTTGGTCAGCCTCGTTTGGAGTACTGCCTGTTCGAGGAACAGTTTCTCACAGGTCGCATTCGCATCGGCGCACTCCGTTATCAGCGCCTGTTTTTCTGCCTTTTCTCTCTCCAGGTCATTAATTAGTTTGCCCAATCCTGCTGGATAGGATACTGGCATTTTGAATATTCGCTGGTAGTCCCAGTTCTCAAGCAGATGCGTCGCCACCTTTGCGCTGCGCAATGAAACGACATCATCTGAGGTGACTGACCGCGGGTCTTCGCTTCCACCAGATGTTGTCGCAGTTGATCGGTCGGGTTCCTCTTCATCCAGATCATTCTGCAAACGTAAAAGTGTGCATATAAAAATACAAAAAAAATACGACCAAAACATTTTGTTTCAAATTTTTGGCCTCTATCGCAACAGTAGATATATGAATTGTCAGGTGCTGTGATTCAGCGATAAGCAGCAAAGAAAAAGAATAACTTTATGCCCTAGAATAGATCTACAACCAGAGTTGGCACAGATAAAATTTTATCTAATTCAGATTATACCATAATCGCTAGTACAAGTACAACAGTAACACAGTGTCAAAAGCTGTTAAATTAATGCAGTGCGGAACTTCTGGCTTGCAACGAACAGAAGAACGTTGACTTCTCTGATACAAACGTGTCCATTTGCTTCTTT